GAGGAGTTTAAATGGTATCTCATTGTAACCTCAAAGAATATTTTCCATGATGAGTGTTTTTGAAATATATTTATTAGCAGTCCTGTTTTTTCTTCTGTAAAATGCCTGTTCATGACTTTTTGTCCAATTTTTGAAACTGGATGATTTGCTTATTGATGAGTAGAGGTTCTTTGTGTGTTGTGGACCCTGATCCTTTGTTTAGTTATGTATTCCAGATCGCTTCTGCCAGTGTGGGACTTGGGTCTTTAAGTCTTTGGTTATCCAGGTAAAGTTTTAAGGCAGAGATTTAATATCGTTGATTTCATTCTTTTTCTTTATGCTTCAGGCATTTTATGTTTATGTTTATTTAAATATGTATTTCTACTCCCATGTATACAAAGATTTTTTTCCTAAATATGCTTCTTTAAAAAAAAAACCAACTTTTATTTATATTTATGTTATGCTGAATTTATTCCTGTGCCACAAATTTTTTTTCTTTAGTGGCTTCTGGGATATCTTTTCTCCTGTGTGACCTCTTCTTCTGGAACAAATTGTTCCTGGTCATTGTTCCTAGTCAGTGAGGACCCTCTCGCTGTGGCAGGGGAGCGCAAGTGTGGGTTAGTCTGACCACAAGCTCTGTAAGTGTGGTGGCACGCCCCCAGTGCTTTGTTCTCCGGGATGTGTTCAGTGACCAGAGAGTCTACATCAAGACCCTGGAGTTCAGCATTACTCTCTGCATTTTAAATTGATATACCTCAATTAAAAATTATACCTCAATTTAAAGTTTCTCCTCAGTCAGGAGAAATCTTAGTAGTCTGGGAACACTAAGAGTTCACTTGAATATAAAGTAAAATTATTAAGGGTACAAATTCCTGGATTTAAATTCTGGTTCTTCCATTCACTAGGAGAATGCCTTGGGCAGGCAAGTTAACCCCTACAAGCCTCTATTTCCCCAAATGCAAACAGGATTCCACTAGTGCATACTTTATCAGGTCGCTGTGGGGATAAAATAAACTAGTAAATATGAAGAACCTGGAGCAATCAGAGGCCGACATGGTGAGCGCAGAATGAGGCCAGCTGCTAGTCGTGTTATCAGTGCCATTAGCACCACTATTTTGGTGGGCATTTACTTTGGTGCAGCCACATAGGGAAGCACATGCAGTACTGGTGTGTGAGATTAAGATGTTCTGCAGCCACACCCCCTAGAGAAACCCTTATTTCAACAGGAATGTTTGATAGAAGCACCATTTGTGGCAATGAAATAATGAAAATAACACTTATGTCTATTTAGAGGGGAATAAACAAATAGATTATTGTAAGTTAATATAATTTGGACACTGAGTATCCCCAGAAGCTCATGTGTTAAAGGCTTGGTCCCCAAGGTGGTGCTACTAGGAGTGGGTAGGACTTGGAAGTGGAGCCTAGTGGGAGATCAGTGGGGCATGTCACTAAAGGGGACTGTGGGACCCTGGTCTCTCTTCCTCTTCTTCTGTGGCTTAGCTATGAGCTTAGCTGTTGCATTACCATGTGCTCCCTGGGAATGCCACCCAGTGTGCCCTCAGAGGCCCAGAGCAAAGGGTCTGTCCAATCATGGACTGGAACATCCAAAACTGTGAGCCAAAATAAACTTATTCTAAGTTAATTATCTCAGGTGTTTTGTTACAGTGATGAATGCTGACTATCACAAACACAGAGCACAGAAATTAATAGACCAAAGCTACATGTATCAACAGAGACCAGTCTCACCAGCACAGTGCCTGACAGTCAGGCAACCCACAGAAGAATGAAGACAGACAGGGATCAAACACGCAGAGCTGAAATCATGAAAAGCTAAACAAAACATTGTTCACACTTTTACTGCATATGAAAATGTCCTAATTACAATGGCAGTTACTGTTAGCGCACAAGGAAAGGGTATTTCATCATAGAGGCACCATACATTACCAAGAGCATTAGCAACATTGGCTTTTTTATATCGAGAGTGTGTAACGGGTTTTCATACTATTATTCTTTAGCTTTTATATAGATGCAATACATATAATTTTGTATACAAAAATTTTGTAGTTAAGAATTTGTATGAATGCACAAATATCCAGCAGTAACTTTGTCAAACCACTTGAAAAATATCTGCGGGAATATCCATCCTGTTGGTCTCAGAATATACCATGAACAAGTGCAGAGAGAAATACAAACACAGGTAACATCTCAGAACGCTCTGTGAGTGAGTGCTGAGCTGAGCTCTAAGAACCACGCAGCTCAGGAAGACAGGACAGAGAGAAGCAGGACTAACCCTGTGAGACGTTCCCATGCCTACGGGCAGGCAGAGAGAAACTGACAAAGGAGCCTGCAAAGCCACCAGCTCCTCCCGCTGTCCCCCTTAACTGCTGCTGAGAATGATTCCTCACCTCCCTTTCTCTAATTCCTGTTGACTTCTCCCCCTCTGCCTCCAATCACAGCCTCAGCCTCCTCCAGTCTACTCTCCCACACACAACAACCCCCAGAGCTCCCTGTGAGCTACCGTTCTGTTACACCGTCACCTCCTTACTGAAGACTCTGCCTTGGCTCCCCCTTGGCTCCCCCTTGGCCTGTAATAAGGCAGAGCCCAAACTGTGGAATTAAGAAGGCCTTGGGCTGGGGTTGTGGCTCGGCAGTAGAGCACTCGCCCAGCACATGTGAGGCCCATACCACATAAAAATAAATAAACAAACAAACAAATAAAGGTATCGTATCTACTACAACTAAAAAATATTTTTTTTAAAAAAAGAAGGCCTTGTGTGACCTGGCTCCTCCTTAAGTCATCAGCTCATGCCTCCCACTTTATTCTGATTGCAAAGGTTGAAAGCAGTGGTTCTCAAACTGTGGTCCCCAGACCAGCAGCACCTAGAGGCTTATTAGATTGCAGAGTTAGCTCACACCACCTACTAACTCAGAGTGAATGCTATGGGTGGGTCCAACATCTGAGTTTCAGTGAGTCTTCAAGTTGATTCTGTAGCACATCAAAGCTTGAGCTTACTAGTTTACAGCATGAATGCAAGGTAAATTATTATTTGAACTCCAGTAGGAAAAATCAAAAACTGCTACAGCATAATGATGAAATGCACATACTCTGGGGTCACCTGCCAGGGGTAAATTTCTGCTCAGCTTCTGCCTAGCTGTGTGTCTATAGGGAAGTTACTTAGTTCACCCTAGCAAGGACCCCACAGAAAGACTGCTGGGGTTTAAATCCTGACTCTATCTCTCACTAGCTGTGTGACCTTGAACAAGTTACTTAGTTTCTCTGATGCTCAGTGGCCTCGTTGATAAAAATATAAACAACAGTATCTACTTCATACAGTCGTGAAGACTAAAGGAGTTAACCTACTTACGTTGCTTGTATCTGACACACCGTAAGCATTATGCTTTATTTATGATTACTATGGCTACGTTAATTTTGCAGGAGCCACGTTATATTTTGGAAAGTCAGAACTGAATGCTAAGATCCACAGAAAGTAGACAAAATTCCCTCCCGTATGGAAAATCTTTCCTCACCTTTTTTTAAGGTAAGTGACATTTTTCTAATACGCCATCTACTTCTCTGCACAAGTTTATTTCCTTCCAATTAGAGTGCACTGACTGGATGTAATGACCTCTTCCAAGAGCCAACGGATCTGCCTTCAAGGGGCCATTCATCTCAGGTGTGGTCATGCTCTCCACAGCAAAGGACTGACAAGACTGGAGAGAGATTGGCTGAGCATCATCAGGAGATATTTCTGGTGATTATTCTGAACACACATCCGGCCGTCTATCCTCCATGTGAAAGGGCCATGGAGTCGAGGGTCTGCCAAGTCCAGGTGGGGAGCGCTAGGAGCAACAGGGGACAGATCGCTCGGAAAAGACTCTGCCTCTTTCCTCTCACCACCAACAGGTCCCCCTGTGTGCCAAAACACATGACCGCTGGAACCAGAACATTCGCTGCAGAAAACATTCTGCTGAACCCAAAAAAGTACAACAAACCATATTTTTGAAGACACAATAATAAATGGATTGAAGTGACGTGAAATTATGTAGCGATATTTCTTTCAAGTGTCTGAAAGAGTTTCATCTCATGATTTACATTTACACGGAGTTGGAAAATGAAATAAGACAGGGAGTTAGAATATGGAAGAAAGTATGAGAGAAAACGTTACACAGGGACAAGTCATCAAAACTCAAGTCAGAGTCTAGGGAGGGCTCAGTAGCGAGAGTTGAAGGTTTCTTAAAACCACAGAGAGAATACGCCAACTGAGTCTGGCTGGGAAATCAGTTCAGTCATCATATATTACTGTGAATTGAATCCTCTGCCTGCAGTCTTTACTGGAGGTAGATATGAATCAGTTTTTACCTCTAACGCTCTTCATTTCTCTAAGTTTTAAACATTAGTTTTCTCTGTAAAATCAAGTTAAAGAATCAGCATTCAGCGCTATGGGATTTGTGATTCACATGATAACCACATTTTCCATGTGTTTGGGGGGATTTGGGCAGAATCTCTTTCCATAGTTTCCCACTTTAAAATAGAGGTCACCGATTACAAAGAGCATTCTTTCAACTCTAAGTTTCAAGGCATCTCCTCAATGCAAAACATTTTATATCTGGGGGGAAAGAAAGGTTAGAAAGTCATGTGCTATAGGATGTCAACCTATACAGCTCGTTTTTCTTTTAATCTTATACTGTAAAATTCCAATGGATAGATAAGGAAGATAATGATGCATGTCAGCCACATTTTACAACTAAAAACCCACAACAGCAAAGAAAACTGCTGATTCTTTATTTAACAAAATATAACACACTAACCTTCTGAGATCGCCTGAAAAAAATATTAATTTCTCAGATTAAGATATAACTATAGAGCCTCTAAAATAAAAAAAAAATGTTTTCAAGCATATAAAGTGTAAGATGAATACAAAACAGCTTTCCTCGCTATGTCTGTGAGCACTAGCCACACGGGTACCGACAAGGATCTTGAATGTGAGGAAGGCTTCTGAGCAAATCGTCAGAACACTCACCTGCACAGTCCTCTGAGTGCCATCAACGTTGACAGACAATAAGGGCGAAGCCAAGTTCCACGTACTGGTCACATTTAGTTTCGAGCCATCAACTTCCACCTGTTGTGACACCAAATAAGACTGTTATATGAAGAAAGACAGAAAACTGATCTCAAGTTCACTGCTGCATACAAAGCAGAAGCCATTTTAAACAGATGGCTCCCCAACAACCTGTCATGTTTACTGCTCCAGCCATGAAAGACAGGGTCCAACCACATAGTCTTCCGAGCGATCTCTGGGGAGAGGTGAAGGACCTACGAACAGCTGCCTCTGGTACTGAGGCTTCAAGCAATTTCCAGTAGGTAACAAACAGCCATCTAACTCGAAACCTATCTGGACACGCCACATTTACTGCAATTAGACAAGTAATGCATATAAATTCCAGTGACATTCTGCAACCCACGCAACAGGGCTTGCATATAATATCCTCTCCAAGGACCAGGAAGAACTTTTTCTGTGGTAATTTTAATGAAGGACTACGCATTGTTATCTTAATTAAACAGACTTTAATTAGGCAAAATTCTTTGGAGTTGAATATCCAAAGATCATTCAAACTTTGCAAAGTTCTATCATACTTTTATCAATCATAAATGACTAGTTTTATCAAGTCTTCATTCATGACAATGCAAAGAAAGAAAAAGACTCGTAATCTTGCAAAGCAGAGACACTCTTAAGAGAAAAAAAATTAATTTCCAAATAAATAGCATAAAAGCAATTGTAAAGAAACAAATAAAAGCTAACTTAAAATAACAAATACTAAAAGGTTTTTCTTTCCACTCACCGATGACTATTTCCTAACTCATTAGTATGAGAGGCAAAAAAACAAATAGCATTATTATTTTAAGTCTACCGTAGACAACAAAGGGATATTTAATGTTTGCTCAAGTTTCAAAATAAACCTGGAGCAGACCCAAGATATATGATCCCTAAAAACTACCTCCCATTTCTTCTCTTAAAAACCAGATATGAGAGTCCTCACTGTTTCCTGTTGGACCCTTGGGAACAGGTAGAGGATGGCAGGGAAGAAGACTAGGGAAAACATTTTCGCCAGTATCAGGAACCCTACCAACTTCCGAGCTTGAGGACACAGTCTAGGGGAGGCTGAGGCTTCCGGGAGCCCAGCACTCAGTATCACAGCGCTGCTGAGACGTGTGGGGGCGATGGCACGGCCCTGACGGAGGAGGAAGTAGCTGGACTGTGCACCTGAGTATGTCAGGCCCGGAATTCAGAAGTTTCTAGGCCTTAGTGAGAAGACACTGAAGGTCTGGGTCAGGACGATGTCCACAAGGTAGAGGTGACTCCATGACTGCAGGCCAAGAGCAGCGACTAAGGGCAGCAAAGGCCCCTTCAATGCCTTCAGGCCCAAACAGCCCAAGGAGCACGTGCCTCACTACAACAGGCTCTCTGCAGGACTAAAGAACAGTGCTGAGTCGAGCTGTCCTCCCCACTGTCCTCATCACGAGGCCACCCTACCATTTCCAAAAGCCCCCTCACATGCTCCCAGGCCCACACTGACAGAAGCCGGGGACGAGCAAGAGGCCTGCCTGAAACACCATGTTACCCGAAAGACGGTGTTTAAACACGGAGGCCAGGTCTGTCTGTATGTGAGTTTTCTTCCCCTTCCCCTATAACAGTAGAGGGCGTGTAAGAAAGGCTGCAGGAGATGGAAATATTCAGAAACCACATTTCCTAGTACACCTAATAATTAATGAGTCCAAACTGTAATTTCACTATATAACTGAAACAATCCCAAATCATAAACTATGAAACACATCTGTGAAAATTTAACAAGGAAAGGAAATGTGCTAAGAGCTGCCAGGTGCCTCGTCAGGCCTCCAGCTACTGGGAATCAGATCCCCAAGACACATAGATCCAACCAAGAGATACAAAGATTGCACAGGTGCTGTTACTAAATGGGTGACCTAGGATAAGGCAGAGCGGAGGCAGAGACCACCTGCTTGAACCACAGTCAGACAGCATGGGAAGGTGGGTGCAGACTGAAGGAGACAATGCTTATTCCTGAGCCGTCCCTCCTGTTCACATCCAGCCCTCTAGGCCAGGGTGACGGAAGAGAGCAGGTGGAGGTAAAGGTGGCATGTCATTACGGTCGCCCTGAAATGCTCCTTAAAGAACACCACCCGACTTCCCAATGCCAACTACTAGTGGGAAATGAGTAAGTAGCGCTGGTGAGGGGTGACAAGGGTGACGTGCCCGGCTGTCCCAGCTCTCAGCCAGCCTCCCCCACCACAACACAAACCCTAATCAGAAAACAACCAACACGGGGTCTCAGAGTACAATTTTGGGGGAAAAATTATGAGGAAAAAAAGGTAAATTAAAAAGCATATAACACAAGAAGAGTCGCTCAAAGAAACACAGGAAGAGATCAGATAAATAATTCTCCAAAGTCTCAAAGGCAACCATAGGAAATGTGACCCCTCTTTAAAACAAGGGAAAAAAAAGCTCAAGAAGAAAAACAAAGGTTCAAAGAAGAGATTATACAACAACAGAAGGAAATGAAAATCAAGCTGGTAGAACTCAGAAAAAAAAAAAAGAAGAGAAAAATAACATTATAGAGATAAAAGCCACATTAAGAAGCAACCAAAAATAGAATGTGACTAAAAAGACATACAAGACATTGAAAAATTATATAAGACAAAAACCGAAAGGACCAACATTATAAAGGCAAGTTATAGCAAAGACAATAGATGCACAGGAAGAGGACAGGGGACACAAAGAAAATACAACCATCTCCTTCAAAAAAGTACTTAAAGAATAAGTGTAAAAGTCAAAAATATGATAAGACTTTCAAAATAAATAAAACCCTGAATTTATAGACTGATGACATTTGTGGATTTTAGGACTAAAGAAAAAATTATATATTTAGGCATAAATAAGAAATTACAAGAAAGTAAAAACAAATCGGGTCAGCCTAATTACCCCAGAGCAACTGATACAGAAAATTATGGAGAATGTGGTCTAAACACCGACAAGAGGAAATGATGTCCCGTCATTTTATACCCAGCCAAGGTTTCCTTAAACTGTATGATATAAATAGACATTCTGTGGCATGTAAGAACGTAGAGGACCTTTTCTTTAAAAAGAAGGCATCTCTATAGGTACTGATGCAAAACTATCCCCAAGATAAATACAGAATAATATATGCAATATACCGTCATTTGTTAAGGAAAAAAATAGCAATGTATATGTGGTGATTTTTGTCTGCTTGTTGTTGTTTGGCTGGTTATAGTTGGTTTTGGTACTGGGACTTGAACCCAGGGCACTTTACCACTACTCTAAATCTCCAGTCATTTTAATATTTTAATTTTGAGACAGGGTCTTGCTAAGTTACTCAGGCTGGCCTTGAATTTGTGATTGTCTTGTCTCAGTCTCCCTAGTCATTGGGATTATAGGAGTACCCAGCAGCTCATTTGTGTGTATGTGTGTTTTTTAATACATAGAAAATCCCTGAACAAATGAGTAAGCAGAACAGAGTGGCTGAGGAAGAGAGATGGAAGAGAGGCTTGCTTTTCACTATGAATCCTGTGGTACTTTAAAATTTTGTCCTGGATGAGAGTATTATATATATTTAAAGTTCACTTTAAAGTGAGAATTAGCTATGTCCTCTTTAGTACATGATAGACCTTTCACTGTAGGCATGCAATAAAAGTGGCAGTTTTCTTAAAACAGCCTTTTGGTTAACTGGGTGATGCTCTTTTCAGTTTCTCTGCCTGTAGATGCACCAATTTCATCTACCACACCCAATTTTACAATGTGTTTCAGACAATGTCTTTTCCTCTTCTGAAAAAGTGTCCAAGGTCTCTGCTGGGTCTAAACTCTGTGCTTCTGTGGTTACGAAGCCCTTCTGTCTCAGATGTCTTCTGACAGTTATTCCTGATAGAGCTATTTCCAATATTGAAAGGAATTTTTGTTTTGATCAAGCACCTCCATTTGGGCATGAAATTTTATGATCCTTTACTTAAAAGACAATAGAAGCTAGAAATGAAATCAAATTCAATGTAGGGATGAAAAGAAAAACAGACCAAAAGTGAAGTGCCAAACGACATAACCACCCACCCTCCAAGGCAGACATTGCTGAAATGTTTCAGCGCTGTGAAAACACTAGAATACTCTCAATTGTGTAAAGACTCCATATATTTTAAGGACACTCAAAAGACACAATACCTCCATCTAGAAACACTGACCTAAAGATGTTATGTTACATCCTTAAACAGGCCTAGCATTTATGTGCATCAAACTTTTATTAACTATTATACTAAAACTGAGCCACATTCTTATCAGATGACCTTCTCTTTTTTAACTGAAATTATAGTCAGATGTGACTCCTCTCATTTTCTTGTATATCATTCATGGTCTTTCCCCACATCATACACCTCTTCTGCCTCTTAATTTGTTCCTTTTAATGAATTTCTGACTTTTGGTCTACACTGGCTATGTCCTCTCTGCTTTGAAACCTAGACAGGACTTCCTAACTACTCACCTAGGTCTCTCCTTTTCTCTGACAGGTTCTAGAACAAGCTCAGCACCTACCTTCTTACTACATACCTTCCCCACAACCTTCTACAGTTTGGCTACTAAACACACATTCTACAAGACCATCAATCATCTTGATTTTTGGTATTCTCCACTTCTCAGCCAGAAGGAAAGCCTCTCTGAGAAGGTGACCTTTAAGCTAAGACCAAACGGTGGCAGGAATGTGGTAAGTGTGCTAGTGGTAGCGGATGGGTAGGGATATTCCAGAAGGAATGTCACGGGGAGGGGAGGAAGCAAAATGAAACAAGAAACCATGGAGTAAGAGAACTAGCTGATTTGACACACCAGTGTGCCAGGAACCCAGAAGACAAAGGTGACAGCGGTCAGCAATGGGGACTGAAGGTTCCAACTGCAGCACAACCCACCCACATTGCAAACACACACGTACATGCCCAGGACACACAAGTGCCCTAGCACTGAGCTGCACCCCAGCCCTCCACGTGATACTTTGAAAAGTCATTCCGGCTACAGCTTGAGATGAATTAGACCAAACAAAAATAAAAAGGATG